AATTCCTGTTCCCCTGGTCTATGAAATTCCAGGTGGGCTGATTTTAGATTTCTTGTGGGCGAGAAGGGAGACTGGTGATACATTTGACTTTTCCCTCGAGCTCAGCCTGGTTATTTATAGCTCCCGGCACTCTATCCTTCTTGTTTGAACTACTACAATGTGCTTTACATGGGGCCACCCTTGAAATACCTTTGGAAGTTTCAACTGGTACAAAGTGTGGCGTCAGAAGCAGCCTTTGGGGCCACAGAATGACCCATGTACACAGCTTCATGAACTGCACTGGCTGCTAGTTTGCTTCCGGGTGCAGTTCAAGATTTTGGCTATGACCTTTAAAGCCCTGCATGGCATGGGTTCAGACTTCTTGTTGAACCATGTCATGCTGCTCAGACAAGCCCATCCCACTCATGCTGGCAGAGGAGGCCTGCTAAGAATCCTGTGGATCAAGAAACTCTGACTATGGAATCCAGCTGTAGTGCTGACCCTCTGGAACATCCTGCCCCCAGGGTGAGATTCGCCTCTACCCTGCTATCCTTTTGAGAACCTGGCTCTGCTGGTTGGCCTGGGGACCAAATGGGAGAGTACATCACTGAAGGTGGTTGCTGCACTATTGACCCTACCTGCCCCTTGCGCTTCCTGCTCCACCTCCCATTCATCTTTTTAATTTTGTATTATTGTACTTCCATTGTTTACATTTATTATTCCTTTAATATTGTTAGTTTTACATTTTTAATCACTTTCTATTTTATTGTTGTAAGTAATTTAGTGTAGCCCCATAGCGAGAGGGGTGGCAAATTTAACAAATGAAATTAAGTATAATAAATAGGTATGTATGTATAAGTGCAACCATTATAACCATTCATTTAGTGACAGTTTGGAGTTACAACCCCACTGAAAAAAGTGACTGGTTGTTTTTCACACTTATGCAGTGTGGCAGCATCCCTGTGGTCATGTGGTCAGAATTTGGATGTTTGCAATTGGTTCATATTTGTGACGGTTGCAGTGTGTCGGAGTCATGTGATCCTCTTTTGCAACGTTCTGACAAGCAAAATCAATGGGGAAGCCAGATTCACTTAACAATTGTGTTACTTAACAAATGTGGTAAGAAAGGTTGTAAAATGGGGCAAAACTCAACAAATGTCTTGTTTAATAACATACATTTTGGGCTCAATTTGCGATAATAAATCAAGGACTACCCATATGTAAACATGTAAACATGCTTGAAATTCTGAGAATTATAATCCTTACACATGTGAATGGCATCAAGTTGCCTTAATGAATTAATAAAAGTATATATTTAGGCCACATCCAAGGGTGCTGATTGCTCTTTTGGGACTCGATAGTAAGGAGCAATAGAATTTGATGCCAATCATTTTGTGGATTATACTCTGCAATTCCGTTGACTGCTGCCAGTGGTTTTATTTACAGTTGAACAGAGGCACACCCTTTCACTTAAGAATACATTTACTACTGTCCCATATCTGACTTCTTTTCGCTCCCTGGGCACCCTTCACTTGACCAAGTAGGACAAAGATGTAATAATCCATGGGTGGCAGAGTTAATATCACAGAGGACCATGTCCATTTCATCAGAATTCATAGATTCCTACGATCCCAAATAAGTCATCATAGTTTGATTTATTTGTGCTGCTCATCTCAAAGCAGTGATTCAGGGCAGGATATAAATTGCAACAACAGTTCTTCGGGTGGTCCAAATGTCCAAGGTTAAGATAGTAATTCCAATCTGTATAGTAAACAAATTTAATCCACAGGGCTCATGGTGACCCAAATGCCTGGGAGAACAGCCGGGTCCTCAGAGAATTACAAAGGCTAAATTCTTCATGGTGGCCCAGCTATGAATCTTCCGGATATCAGTTTCATAAGGAACTGAGTAACTGTAAACAATGCTGCTGTGTGGTTTTCTATGGATGAAATAAGCGCAGAGAAGTAAGGCTTGTTTTACTTCTGTTAGCATCACAGGGTAGGCTGAACATTGAGGTCGTGCCTGTGCTTGATCACATTCATTCTTCACCTTATACCAAGGTTGTGTTAGAAGTCTCTTCTGTCATGTTCCAATGGCTACTCCAACCCAAGTCCCAAAGGTGATTTTTCAAGAGGCAACTGGACTTTCTTATTCTACTTCGAAGATATTTTGCTTTTCATCCAAGAAGCAAAGTCAAACATCTTCAAAAGAAAAAAACAGAAAGTCCAGTTGCCTCTTGAGAAATCACCTTTGGGACAACCATGATTTGGATGACTCAGAATCTCCATAGGCATCCATCCCAGTCATGTGATCGCATTTCAGGCACTGGAAAATCGGCCTGCATTTATGGCCATTTGAAGTGTCCTGCAGTCACTTCACTAGATGGATGGATAGATAGATATAGATTAGATGTAGATGTAGATGTAGATGTAGATATTCAAAATACAGCTTTTACTTCCAGTTTTTAAAAAGAATTATTGGGAACAATAAATTCATTTAACTGTGGTGTTTTTTAACTACTGGTGCAAAAAAACAAAATTGTTATGACCATCCAACTTACAACCGTAATGAGCAGGCTCCATTACAGTCATAAATTGAGGACTCTCTGTAGGCCCTTTCTCTATATGGAGGTCCATGTTACTTAATTAATTCTGTGGTAACTAGTGAGTAATCATGGCAAGGGAAATGTCCTGCACTCGGCTCATGTTTAACTTGGGTTAATTAAAGTTTTAATGGTTTTAAGACGTTGAGCTTATTGACTAGATGTTTCGCAGTTCGAGACCCAAGCACTATGTTTCTGTTGCTCCCCTCTGGGAAGAGGTTTCGAAGTACTTCTAGCAGGACTTCCAGATTCTGTATCAGCTTTGTTCCCTAAGCCATCCATCTGGTAAACTCTCAAGATTCGTTTCTCTCGCCATGTACATGTATACATCCAAACTAGACTATGTTGTTTCTCTGTGTCATATAATATATGTGGGTATATGCATAATTATGTGTGTGTGTGTGTGTGTGTGTGTGTGTGTGTGTGTGTGTTTATGTATTTTATATTGGAGATGGTGACCCTGTATGCAACAAAATTTCATTTTAATGTATGCCAATTAGTGTACATTCAAAGTGACAAAGTTATTCTAAGTCATGTGATGGGAAGAGCGCCTCTGTCCTTGCTCCAGCTTCTGCCAACCTAGCAGTTTGAAAGCATGCAAATGCAGATAGATAAATAGACATCACTTCAATGGGAAGGTAACAGCGTTTCATATATAGTCAGCATATAGTCATGCTGGCTACATGACACGGAAGCATCTTTGGACAATGCTGGCTCCCTTGGCTAACCAATTTCGTTGTATATGTGATGTACAATGACAATAAAAACTATATTATAGGAAGTGGAGATGAGCACCGACCCCCTAGAAAAGGACATGACTGGACTGGTGAAACCTTTACCTTACACTTTTTAATCTTCCTTTGGCTGATGCTTGATTTATAATGAGCCATCAAATCAGTGTCGACTCTTAGTGACCACATAAATATATTTTCTCCTTTACAGCCTGTCCCTAACTTGGTCTTTCAGATCTCCCAAGGGTGCACCCATTGCCACAGTAACTGTCTGTTTTCCTGCTTGCATCTTCTCTTTCCTTCTACCTTTCCCAGCATTAGAACCTTAGCCAAAGAACTAGATTTTTGTTTTATGTGCCTGAAGTAGGCTGATGTTTCCAATTATTTTTATGCAAAAAGTAGTTTACATTTTTCCGTTAAGGGAGTTCTAGAAATTAGCTCTAGAAATTAGCTCGTAAAGAATTAAAACAGGCCACCCATTTGAATATGGGAGATATTTTATCAATGGTTTGACAAAAAAGTATGGAGATGAGATAGTATATATGAAATGTTTAAATATTTATCTTCAGTTTAAGTAAAGAATAATTGCTATATGAGGAGATCTGGAGAATTGTAAGCACGAAATGATTTCAACCGATTGAGATGCTGTCTATAATTGTTTGTAAGAATGATATTTTTTTGTTGTTGTTGTTGTGTTTTTTTTTTATTTTTTATTTTAATCTAAAATAAAACTTTTTCAAAAAAAAAAAGGAATTAAAACAGGCCACCCATTTGAATTTAATTCTGCTAAAGTTGAGGACCCCTTCTGTGAAATTAGTACTCGTTAGTACACTTTAGCATCATTAAGTATTGGTGGGAGAAAATGTTTCTTTACTTAAAAGAGCAAATTATTGTGATTTTGGAACAGAAACTGCATTTCTTTGGAATTAACCAGAATTATAAGTTACATCTAGCAATTGTCTTTATTCTCTACAAGTAGTTCTTGACCAATGACCATAACATAAAGCGGGGCATCACATGAAAGATCCAATTTTACAACCTCTTTTACAACAGTAGTTAAATGAATGCAGCAATTTTAAAGTGACCGCTGTGGTTGTTAAGTGAACCATAGCTTTCCTGTGGGCACACTTTTGCCAATAACTGGACGTAAATGCCATTTTTTGACAAAACTTTGCCATGAAAGTCAGCTTGGGTCAACAACTTTCTCTCGGCCTAACCCACAGGGCTGTTATTGTAGGAAAAATAGGATGAGGAAGATGTATTGGATACGTTTGCTGCCCTTTTTTGTAAAAAAAGGTGAGATATAAACCAACAAAACTCATAAAATGTGCTCACATCACTGCAGCACACTGCAAATAGCTATAAATGTGGCTCAATTGCAAGTACCTACAATCTGGTCACATGACTGCGGGGAGGGACAACCATCATGACTTCAAATCTGAATCTTAAGGAGCCCACAGGTAGGTTCAATGGTCACTAACTGGTTGTAAGTTGAGGACTACCAGGAATTGATTTTAGTATAGAAATGAGACTTTCTCACTTTCTAAAAAAATGAGGTCACCCTCATTTTAGTCTGCATTATTCCTGAGATCCTCAGGTACATTTTGGTTAGTGGAATGACATTGATTTAAATAATGCAATTTTTCCACTGTTTTGAAGTACTGACTGTATCTCTTTTTTTTTTCTAGTGAATTGGATGATGACTTACTAGGAGAAGATTTGTTGACTGGCAAAAAGGTAAAAATCAGCCTGTTTAAAGTACTGTATTTTTTGGAGTATAAGACACACTTCCCTAAAAGCAGATGGAAATGTCTGTGAGTCTTATACAGTGAATGTTTCTGAAGCCCTGCCCACCCATTGGCCTCCACCCAATTGATTGTTTTCGGCCTCCGTGCACTCCATTTTAGACCCGTTCCAGGCTGCGCGGATCGCCACAGTACATCACTGCTTATCGCCACCTCCATGCATCAAATTTTTGGCCTCATGCCCCATTTTAGACCTGTTCCAGGCTGTGGGGATCGCCACAGCACATCACTGCTGATCACTGCCGATCGCTGCCTCTGTGCACCATGTTTTTGGACTCTGCATGCCCCAGAATTCCACCCCCCCTATTTTCCTCCCCAAAAGCTAATGTGCGTCTTATAGTCCGGAGTGTCTTATACTCTGAAAAATACGGTACCGTATTTTTCGGAGTATAAAATGCACCTTAATTTTTGGGCAGGAAAACAAGTAAAAAGAATTCTACCTCTGCCTGCCAGCATTCAAGTTGGCGCTGCTTTACGCTGTCCTCCTGCTGCAAGCGAGAGGTGCCTCAGTTGCGAAAGGGATGTTGATTACTGAGAATTCCTTTTAAGAAAAACTTATCGGGGTGCTTCTGTGATCCGCAGGGACTACTCGCTTTCCCTGAAGAGACCCCTCGCATGCTCTGGGGGGACGGTTGGGGCACAGCCTGAGGAACGAGCCTCTTCAGGACAGTTGGGGTGGGGTGGGGTGGGAAATCTGCCCAGTGGCTTTGGTGAACAAGGCAGGCCCCACAGTTCGCAGCTGGTCCCCCTTCTGGCCGCCCAGCGGGCAGCTCAGGGCAGACAATGGCCACGATGACTTCACTCCCCAGCAATGTGTGAAGCCGCCGCCTAAGCTCTCTCTGCGCCTGGGAGCCCCTAAAGTGAAACGTCCCTCCTTTCCAGCTACTGCCGCCTGTTGGCCCGATGCAATTCGCAGAGCCGCTTTTCAGACGGCAGTTGGTTCCCCTGCAATGTGCTTCTGAGAACCAGGGAGGAAAACATTTTCAGGTGACAGCGCCAGCCACACACCGCATTTTTGGATTCGGGAGGAAAGCGCTTTGCATAGCAGAGAATGGGAGTAGAGGGTTGATTGGTCGTTTGAAGGGGAGGGGAAAGATGTATGCTCTTAACTTTGCATGCGCCGTTCAGGCCGCCGCCTGAAAAGCAGCTCTGTGAATTGCATTGGGCCAACAGGCAACGGTGGCTGGAAAGGAGGGACGTTTCGCTTTAGGGGCTCTCAGTTGCAGAGAGGGCTTAAGTGGCGGCAGCTCCTCACATTGCTGGGGGGTGAAGTCATCGTGGCCGTTGTCTGCCCTGAGCTGCTCGCTGGGCGGCCAGAGGGGAGACCAGCCGTGATCCATGGGGCTCGCCTTGTTCGCCGAAGCCACCGGGCAGATTCCCACCCCCCAAACTGTCCCGAAGAGGCTCATTCCTCAGGCTGTGCCCTGACCCAGATCCTCGCTGCCTGGAACTGCCCGAAAATGCGACACGCGGGGCCGAAAATGTCCGAAGGGTGGGGGCTGGCGGACTGTAAGATGCACCCAGATTTTCACCCTCTTTTTTGGAGGGGAAAAGGTGCGTTTTATAGTCTGAAAAATACGGTATATGTTTAAGACAGTGGTTAGTGTAAAAAGTAATTGGTCTACTTTGCTTAAACCCACATCAGTACAGCTCCTGATGGTTTAGAAACATCTATCTTGCTGTTCCACTAAAGAAATCCAAATGCTGTGCTGGAGGCTTGCCTGTTTATTTTATATCGATTCATTTTTTATTACCATTCGTATTCATTTGTATCAAGTCCAGCTCACAAAGGTGGTTTCTTTCCCCACCAATTTTAGACTCAGTCTGATATGTCAGATGAAGAACTGAATGATGATCTCCTGCAAAGTGATAATGAAGAGGATCAGCATTACAGGTTTGTGTTTTTTTGAGCCAAGTATTGTAGCTTGCTTTCTATATCGGCACATTCAGATTATTTGTTTGTATGCTTGTCCTAGAATAGCACATAAAAAGTGCTGTTGAGTGTAATAAATATTATCCTTTAAGGCACCAAACATTATACATGAACATCATTTTATCTGTGCAAGTATATGAGTAAGATTTCAACTCATTTTTGGCTGGGTATTAAAACAGAAAATAATGATAGTATAGGACTGGATTTCCCAGATGCATTCTTTTCAGAATTGTGGTAGCCTCCTCCAAAAATTTAATTGCTTGTAGGGATTCCTTAGGAATAGCTATTCTAATGTGAATTTCTAATTACATAACCTTTCTTTGATGTATATACCATTAAGAATGTAATTATTACTAAATGTAACTGATTAAAAAATAATTCTGTTAAATGCCTCCAAGAAGAAAGAGGATGCCTGGTTTGCTATATGTAGGCATAATCTTAGCTGCAAAATTGAATTAAGAACTGCTGTTTTATTCATTTGCATTAAGAATACACTTGTGCAATTATCTCAGAGGTGCTTTTTAAAAAAGCAACTGGACTTTTTTCGTTTTTTCTTGAAAATACTTTGCTTCTCATCCAAGAGGTTTCTTCAGTTCTAACTGTGATGAGAAGCGGAAACGTCTTCAAGGAAAAGCAAAGAAAGTCCAGTTAACTTTTGGAAAAAGCATCTCTGGGACAACATGACCTGGATGACCGAGAATCTCCATAGACATTTGTAGAATTATTCGGTTTGCTTTTTTTAATTAAAATGGCTGTGTTATTTTATTTATTTAATCTAATTTTTATACCGCCCTTCTCCTGAAGGACTCAGGGCGGTGCACAACCAAAAAATAAAACACATATATAAAATTAAAAGCAATTTACAAAACATATTAATATATAATGTACCTAAGCAATGTTGAATTGCTTAGGTACATTATTGGTATATTTTATCTTTTCATCCTCTTATTTGTTTTAAATAGACATCTTTCTCCATCTACTTGTTGATGGAGGGAAATAAAATCATTCAACCAATGAGCCTCTGCAGGACTGAATATGTACACTCATACTGAAAAACAATATAGATCAATGTGATTGAAATTAGTCCTATTAGAAGAATTGCCTGACATATTAAACTAAAGAATTGTTCTCACTTCTTTCTCATTTGCATAATGACTCAACCAATATGTTTTACAGGAAATTTTGAGTTACAACCATTTTTAATCAAATCTGCCTTTGCTAAAAGTTTTTTGGCAAAGCAGAATTACTAATTAAAATATAGCAAACCCCATATAATATCCAGATCATATTTCTATTTCAGGCATCACACATAACAAAAGAACAATTCTGACTTTGAACTCTTTACTCAAGACTCAGCTTGCCCAGAAGTGGCTCACATATAATAATTATTGAATAATTATTGAATTCAATATTGAATAATTCAATATTGAATTATTGAATTTGGGTCTTTATACCCAGGACAGAGCTGCATCTTTGAAACCTGACTTTGAAAATAACACTGCCTTCTAATTTATTCATTTCTGTCACTTTTGCATGCTGTGGTTTTTGTGATTGACAACTTGAATCGGCATTGGAAAGATCCAAGTTTAGTTCCACCTTTAACCATGGCAGCTCGCTTGGTGACTTCGAACCAATCACTCTCTCATCCTACCTACTTCACAGGATGGCTGTGGGGAGAAAAATGAAAGGAGTGCCCCTTATGTCCCTTCGAATTCTCAAAGAGCGAACAAGATATAAACAGATAAACAAAACTCTGATAAATCATTTTCAGAGAAAGAGTAAAAAGAAACGTATAGATAATTATTACTTTATGTGCTACAAGTTGGTATATTTTAAAGAACAAAAAAATAATTCTTTTTTAATTTGCTAAATTGACAGGGTTTTATGGAATTTTTTTATCAAAACACCTGTGATTCCTTCTCAGAATTTAGATAGGAGTTAGTGACACAATTCAAATTGAACATTTGTTAATGTTGATGCTTATAAGAATTAAATGCAAATTCTAGTATGTTGAAGTTTATTCAAGCACACTCTTTTAAAATTATTTCATTATAGCAACCTAAAATTCAAAAACATCGGTGCCTAGTAGTATTAATGTAGCTAGTATAATAGATAATTAATGTTGCACTAAGTGGAAAACAGATGCTGATATTTGTTAACCTGGGATTTAAAACTGAATGCAACTTGTTCAATAATCCCACGCTTTATACCTGGCTAATATGTTAGAACATATAGTTGGTTTGATCCTTTTGGTCAAATAGCCGACATTTGATGAAACAATAATATACGTATGCATGTTATGAGTTAATGGCATGAAATCAAGTTAATGCATCAATTAATTTTTACTTAATGTGGATATTGTTGCATTCTATGCAAAAATACATGCACAGTAATAATGTACTGATTTAAACTAAAAACACTCTTTTTGCTGTATTTTAGTTCTCAAGGTGTCACTGTGAGTCTTAATGCTGCACCTAGCGTGGTGACATCCTTTGAGCTCACTGAGAATGCTAATGACACATCTATTGAACAAGACTTAGAGTATGAACAAGGGGAAGATGAAATTGGTTATGACAAATTAGATGTTCCTGAAGAGTATGCAGAGGAATATTCAGAAGAACAGTATGAAGGCCAAGAGGCTGAGTTGACAGAAGACCAAATAGAATATGGGGAAGATCAGGGTGAAGAAGAGAATTATAATGATGAAGTGCTGGATCTTGAAATCAATGAACCTCTAGATGAATTCCCGGTGAGTATTTTTCCCCTCCTAGTTTAGTTTTTGAGATAACATTGCTGCACATGCTTAGGTTTTTAGACTGATTTGAAATCTGTTTACCTCCCTTGGGACCAGAGCAAAATTAGACCTATTATCACTGTCTGCCAGTTTCTTTATCTAGGCTGTGACAAAGTTTGTGTTGACAGCTTGTTTGGCTGCAGGTAATGCTCTTTTGTCATTCTGGAAGGCAGTTGAGAATCATGACCTTGAAGATTGTATCCTTAAGGAAGAAAACAGCTTTGTGTGGTGGAGACGCAGTGCCAATTGTTAGAAGTACTTAATGCAAAAGCTTTTATCCAGGCTTTAGACAAGATCTGATAAAGTCCTTCGAAGGTGAAAAGATTATTGACCTGCTAAAGACATCTTTAAGGTGCTAATATTCCAAAGTGATTGATGTTCTGCTCACTCATTTCCACCCTCCCTTTTTTTTGTAATTGAGAACTGTCTAAACCTGAATAAAGAGATTTGAGGTTGCTTTAGAACATGTCACATATATAATTCGTTTCAGTTTCAATGTTTTCTGTGTACATTGCTCCAAGTTGAAATGAGAATAGATTTATTGCCATTTATTAGAAGTATTTCTCAATTAAAAGAAAAAACCTAGCAAATGTAAATGGATTTATCGGTCCTTTGCTTTAAAGCCTAAATCACGTAATAAAATGCTGTATGTTATTCTTAGATGCATAAGACATAAATAACTAATGGGAAAGTACATTTCATGGAAAATAAAGGTATTGTATTACTCTCAAATTAATTGAGTATTTAATTAAAATCTGAAATCCTACATTTTAAAGAAATTAATGTGAACTATCTCATCATTGTGCCATGTAAGCTGCCTGGGAGCAATTAATTTTCATTTTATGTAGTAAGGTATATATGCTTTAAGTAAGTAGATATATTTTTTCCTAGCTCACATGTTTTAAAAATTGTAATAATTATAGTAATCTGATGTTATGTTTTAAATTTTAAGAGGGTTTATCTTCTAAATTATTGATACAAAAAGTAAATAGCTACCGCATATGGGTATTACTTTAAATGTGATGTTGGTTTAATGGAGACCTATAAGAAAGTAGTGTTATTTTTTCACCCTTCATAACCTTTTTATAATCATGTAGATTCCAACTTTTCATCCTTTAAGTTTTAGTTGCAACAAAGTATAAAGTTGTTGTCATGGTTAGTATTAATTATAATTTCTCTTAAGCACCATTCACCATTTAAATACTAATTCACTGATAAAAACTAATTTGCATAAATCAACTTTATATTTAAGGTAGATTTAAGATGCTGGAGAGAGAAAACGTACAGAAGTATGGAAGTTTGTGACTTTTTTCCTATCTGTTAATCAGAGCAAACAAGTTGGGAAGATTGCATTTATACCAGCCCCTTCTGAATAAATAAGCAGTGATACATTTAGAAAATAAAATTAGTTTAAATGAAAGGCTTCCTTATGCATTTCTTTCAGGATGAAGATTATGTACAATCTTATAGTGAAGAACAAGTAATTGAACAACAAGAATATGTAGCTGAAGAAGAGTTAGAAGAGGTTGCTGATACCCAGTCACCTCCAAATGAGTCAGAAGAGGTACTGCAGAAAAGCTGGAACATTAAAAACAAAACATATTTCAGACAGAATTTTCAATTTGGTATTAATCTTTGGCATTGCTTTTCTCAATATTCCTATTGCGAAAGTAGCTATAAAAAGAAATTAAGATCCTATGCTAACTTTTAGCAGACTTACATATTAGGATGATCAACATTCCTGAATGCTCATTTTCAGGAAAAAACTTGAGATATGAAGGCGAGCGGTATGTGTGCTTCTTGTGTCACAGCTGCTTTGTTTCTCATTTTTGGCAGCCCTTATAAATAGTGTTGGAGTTATAGGCCCACTCCAGTCATCAGCCAATATTTCCTTTCCTTTTCATATCTGAATATCTTTAACTCCGTCTGCAGCAGTGCTTTTGGGACAATTAGGAAATACATAGTACTTTCTCTCTTCTTTACTCTTTGTGACCAGAAATTCAAAACTGCTTAGCATTATACCAGAACTAACTGTTCTGCATTGAAATATCTTCTGTTTGATATAAAATCCTTGATCATTTTTCACTTTGTTCTTTGTGGGAACCAAGTCACCTTTTTCTAGCATTCCTTCTATGTAGTTGAAACAGTTTCATTCATCTGCTCACAATGTTGTCATGTATTATCTTTATTCCGTAGACATCATGGCCTATTTGCTAGCAAGTAGATGTAAAAAAAACCCAACAACCCCAAATAACAACAGCTCAGTTGTGCTCGAGTGACATTTTAGTAAGCCAGTCTTCTACAGAGTTTTCTCTCAAGACTTCTCATTCTCGGTTCAATTTGATTTCCTTCTCCGTTGCATCAAAGGGAAAACAGTCTTAGAAGCTAGTGATGAAACCTGAATCTTGGCCAGATATTTAATATGTGCTGTATACCTTATGATCCATTCCAAAAGAATTCTGATCCTTGACATTTCAAAACTGGTGATTGAACAGATGCCTTGCTAGAAGATAGAGACAAGAAATTTATAGTGACTTAAGGCAGCCGTCCATGAGAATACCAGTTATTACCTGAGCAATAAGTTTATTTTTCTGTGATGCATTTATTTTCTTTTCCTCTTCTACAAGAGGCTAGCTGCCACTCTTAGCTTTCAGTGGCTGTATTTGCGGGAAGGGATTATATTTGGATTTAAGGTTTTCCTCATCCTCAGTTTCTTTTGAAGCCAGGAGTGGGAGCTTTAGCTGGATTGTTTGACAGGCAGTTCATCTTTTTTCCTCTATCACCTTAAAATAAGGGCTCATCATCCAAGTTAGTATATTCCTTAGAGTCCTAGTTGGTTTACTTGGTATTTAAATTCTGTGATTTTCTTCTTTTAAGGATGTTGAAGCACTTCCTGCAACAGAAAACACAATGCTCTGTAGATTAAAAGTAGAATTGTAGAGCTTGAAAAAAATATCTTACAGGCACCATAACTAATACACAGTACTGATGTTTTTTCAAAATTTTTTGTCAATCATTCCTAACAGATTAATTTCAGTAATCAAAGAATATAGCCTATAAGTATTAAAACATTAGCTTATATCATGCAAACTGTAAAAAGAGTATTTTATGGTTTTCACTACACAGAGGAATTTTGCCAAAGTCATCCAGTTGAAAATGATATAATTGTCTTCCACTCAAATATTACTTCTACTACACTTCTAAGAATTTTATTAACTCATTTTTCCCTTTTGTTATGCTTTATGGGAGGTTATTCAGTTACGGGGAGTGAGCAGTGAGAAAGATTTACAAACTTCTGTTAAGAATTGTGGCTGCGAGCCTAAATACATTAACTGTAATGGTGTATGGGAAAAGTCTTGGGAGATGGGAGAAGGGAAGAGACGCTGCCTCAGGAAGGGTCAGATGGAGTTGCAGTTCAGCCTGCAACTGCATTAATGGACAGGGAAAGAGACACTCCTGACTTCTCAGGCTATAAAAGAGATGGTGGAACATTTGTACTTTCAGGCTCTGCCTTACAATAAAGTAGTATTAATTCACCTGGTTTTGTTTCCTGCCCAGGAAGGCTGACATTCCTTAATGTTTTCCACTTAATTCGATGAACATTGCTAACACGACAAAGAAGAAGCCGTTCAGTTTTAATGCACCATTCCCCTTTTATACTTTTTAGCCTGGCAAAATTCTTAAACAGTGTAGACTTCCCCAAGTTATCTTTAAATATGGCAGCCTGATATTCATCCTCCTGAACTCATAGTAAGAAATGCAGCATTCTCCTATCTTGACAGGAAACACTGATTTTTAGTATAGACTTCTGGGCAGTGATTAAAGAGATATATTTCGGAAACAAGATCTGTAAGTTCTGAAGTGAAGAAACTTCTTGGATGAGAAGTGAAATGTCTTCAAGGAAAAACAAAGTCCAGATGCCTTTTGGAAAAAAACACCTTTGGGACAACCGTGATCTGGATGAGTGAGACAGATCCATAGACAAGATACAAAAACCTGTTCAACAGTTGCTCCCCAATGAAATCCACTGCTCTGGATGTATGGCTTCTATAAACGTTATTTCTATAAGGGTATTTCAGAGTGCTAGCTCTTATGAGTAAAAAATTTTGATTCCCAAAATGCGATTTTGGTGCCATTTTTCTCTTTCCTTGCCTGTCCTAACATTACACCATTTTGTAAAGTGGTTTAACCATAATTACTATGAACTGAGTTTAAACATGGATTAATTTTTTGCATTCTTTTTTAAAAAAATCACTTGTTTTTTCACATTCCACATAGAGAAATCAGTTAAATTTCACAGTGCTATAATATTGAACAGTATGTGAATTTTAAGAAAGACCCGTGGTTATTATTGCATGGTGAAATTAACATTCAAGGGTCTTGACTTAGAGTTGCTTAGATACCATGTAGAGACAGCTGATATGATGTTATACATGATGCACACTGATTTCTTGATTTCAAACCTTGTAAATACGTAAGATCAGCATTTGACCCATTCCTCATCTGTTACAGGTAATTATTGAAAATCTGGAGTTTCAACAAGAGCCCAAAGAAGAATCAGATGAAGAGGAGGAAGATAATGAAGAGTCTGGTCGGTTACGGTTCAAAACTGAACGGAAAGAAGGAACAATTATTAGGCTATCGGATATAACAAGGGAGCGAAGAAACATTCCAGAAACTTTGGGTAAGACTTTAGAGGAATGGTTAGAAAGCTAGATTCTTAATTGGTTACAACAGACTAGCATATTACATGCACAATTGAGGAATAATACAAAAATTAAAAATATAAATAATTGTGGTGGTGTGAATTATAAGCAGTGAGAATGAAAAGGAAGTAAAATATGTCAAATAAAATAAAAATGATAACTTTCAGTTCAAAGCACTTTTATAATGTTAATCTGTGTATGTACGGAGAAACCTCTCTCTCTTTTTTTTTTAAAATTGATTTATATGCCGCCCTTCTCTGGAGACTCAGGGCGGCTTACAAGACTCTTTGGCTTATGTATATTCATTCAGTGACCATTAAGGTGCTTAAATTGTGGCAGAGTTGAGAAAACAGAAGTACAGTTGGTGTTCGGCTGTTCCAGCTATTACACCATCATTGTGATCACGTGCTTCTTGTACAGGTGCTCTGATGACCCAGCTTGTATTTATGATGTTGCAGGAAGGCATGATATCATGTAAACAGCGACCTTCTCTGCCGGTTTTCCACAAGCAAAATCCATGAGAAAGTCAACAGGGAGTGTTACAAGTTGATCTTGCTTCTTCTACCCACCTGTAGCACCATGTAGCATCATTCCCTGATTCACACACTGTCTGCACCAGCCCTCCTTCCTTGTGTATGACCATCCCCATGCTGCTTACCTGAAGCCCTCACTGCTTCCCACTTAGCAAGCTGTAAACATTGGGGTTACAACAACAACAACAACAACCAGGACTGCTAAGCAGTGTGGTCATGTGAAGTGCTCTATGACCTCATCAAGTAATGACTGCAATTTTGGTCCCAATTGCCATTGTAACGCCAGGACTATCTGTATTTATTCAGGATGGAAAGTTGTTAAATATCTTGTGGCAGTGTTGTATGTGTAAAATAATATAATCTGGTAAATTTAGATAGATCTTGTCCTTCCTAATACGCGAACAAACATGTTAAGGTGTCACACAATGTCTGCTCAGCTTCAGGTCAAATCAGCTTTTCTGGAAAGACTGGCTAATTAAAGATGCTACTGTTGAAAGAAATCTCAGATTGATGTCGTAGCAAGGTGGAATCAGGCAGGTTTAGTAATGAATTATTTAGAGTCTCAGTGTGACATCTTGTGAAACTACACACAAACAGGACTTCTTTTGAAGTGTCCTGTGTTACAGGTTCAATATGAAGATACGTTGTAATTTTCTAACAGAACACATTGCTGTAAAACTATTGCAGCAGTACATTTTTTCTCTCATATTAGAGACATGGCCATCTCCATTTTGTGGTCTGATACCTTGTACAAAAGTAATGTAGATATTTCATGTTTTGTGAGGTGAAAGCCTCTTAAAGAAATTCTGGTTTACAGATTGACATAGTAATTCTGTGAATTATATGAAATGATGACATGGCGTCAGTGGTGGTTTCAAAAATTTTTACTGCCAGTTCTATGGGTATGGGTTGGCATGGCTTGGTGGTTGTGGCAGGGGAATGATACTGTGAAATCTCCATTCCCACCCCACTCCAGGGGAAGGATATTGCAAAATCCCCATTTCCTCCCGATCAGCTGGGGCTAGGGAGGCAGAGAATAGATGGAGGCAGGGCCAGTCAGAATTTTTACTACCGGTTCTCCGAACTATTCAAAATTTCCGCTACCGGTTCTCCAGAACTGGTCAAAACCTGCTGAAACCCACCTCTACATGGCGTAATATGTCATGTGTTGTTGTTCATCTGAGGTTGTCTTTACCTGATATGTAAAACTATAGAACTCAAAGGGTGTAGTAGTAGTATAGCCTTTATTGTCATTGTACATCATATATACAACAAAATTGGTTTAGCCTCTCTGGTACAATCCATAACAGAAAATACAAAACATCATAAATAGTATAGAGAATAATTCCTATAGAAGTAATTTCTTTTTAGTGTAGTTTCTTTTTCACATGACTATATGTGCTTCTCGTCTTCAGAAGCAATAAAATAATAAATAATAATAAATACTGTAATAAATAATAAAAATAATTTGAGAATAATATATCTGCCATACATTTCACACAGGTATTTAATATGTGAGGGCTAAATAAAGCTACCAGTTTGAATGTCTATGAAGATTTTCAGCCATCCACGTCATGGTAGTCCCAAAGGTTGCCTCTTTTTCAAGAGGCAACTGGACTTTCTGGTTTTTCTTTTTAAGATGTTTTGCTTCTCATCCAAGAAGCTTCTTGGATGAGAAGTGAAACATTTTCAAAGGTGGAAAAAGAAAACAAAGTCTCTTGCCTCTTGAAAAACTACCTTTGGGACTACCAGTTTGAAATATCTTTCATATTCAGTGAATCTGAGCTACCCATTGCTAGGGATTATTGAGCTGTACCACATCAAATGCTACATATCAAATAACAAAAGTCGTTGGGCATTGCTCAGTGGGGCAGATATTTAAAAATAGTTTTTAGCTATCCAAATCATAAATTCTCTAACCTGCTACCCCCACATCAATATCCCCAACTTTCATTTTCCCCAGATTTTACGTGGTTGTAATTGCTGGGAGTTGTAATTTACAGGTAATCTTTGATTTATAGCTATAATCGGGCCTAGAATTTCCATGACTAAGCAGGTGGTTAAGTAAATTGTGCCCATTTCATAACCTTTTTGCTAAGGTTGTTAAGTGAATCACAGCAGTTGTTAAGCTAATTTTCCTTCCCTCATTGATTTCGGTTGTTGGAAGCTGATTGGAAAGTTTACAAGTGGCAATCACATGACCCCTGGGACGCTGCAACCATCCTAAATATGTGCCAGTTGCTAAACATCCAAATTTTGGTCATATGACCCATTACATTGGGTATGCTGTGATAGTCATAAGGGTGAGGACCAGTTGGAAGCCACTTTTTTTCAGTGCCGTTGAAACTTTGAATGATTGCTAAATGAATGGTTGTAAACTGAGGACTACATATATATATCAGAGGGGCCTCATAGGCAATTCTAAATCCATTTAGGGTGGTGGAATCTGGAGCAGAAGTGAGGAGAGGAGTGAAAAGCTTGGCTAGCTTGCTGATGGGGAGGAAGCAACTGAAGGAGATCCTCCCTAAAACTTTTCAGTATTTTTCTAGTAGTTCTGAAGTGAGTATACAAGTCTGGGGAGATTCAAGGAACCAGAAATGAAACGAAGCAAACCAGAGTGGTATGTTTATTGCTATTCGTATATAGACAAGCCCATTGGGTTAAGCCTGGGAAGATTGATTGTTTATAATGGGGTGCTTTGATAATGGAACATTTGGAGAGTATAGATTCAGCTGGGGAAAAAAAATCTTGTCCCAGGTAATTTTAGGAAACTATGGGAACAAAATTTACTGTTCTTAGCTTTTATTGGGCAAAATTCCTTTTTTAATTTTCAACCTCTCGACTGAAAAGTATAAGATTAGCAAGATGTTTGTATGGAACTATCTTTTAAAAAATGTTTGGAAATACTGATGTTTTATTTGATAGCTTGTTTCCTTGCTTTCATAAATAATGGTATCAAAATGCTGTAGCAATAAAAATAACCCGGTGATATCTCATTAGCAGTTTGCAAATATGCAAGTTTTGCAGTTCCTATTCCAAGTTTTTTTTTTTCTGTAAAAAGCCATTGTCAGCTAGAGCAGTTAAGCGATCTGCAATAATTGTTGTCTATTAGTGAAAAATGTAGTAAAAGTGGCGTAATAAATATTACTTTCTTTCAGGACTGATTGCTCTTAATAAGAATTATGGGTATAGAAATGGAATCCCATTGAGTGGTTACAATTTTTACTTTAACATGTAGACATAAATTGAGAAAACACTTAAATAGAAATTAATATTTTAGTTGAAATTCCAAACGTAATTTCCTTTCTGTCACTTTTTGGTGACCTTTCATGACAGGTTGTCTCTATTGGAGGAAAGCATCCTTACTTGCTGATTAAAGATGGCATTTGAAACCATTTTATTACCAAGGGTAGCCAAATTAATTTTGACACTTGGAAGGACTAGAGGAATAATTGCTGATTCACTGCATTAGCTGTGTATAAAAGAATTCTGCAGTAAAGATTGGATATGTGTTGGTAAAAATATGTTAAACATTTTTTCTTATGAATGCAGCAGAACCATATCTTAAATGCTGCTCTTTTTAAATTAAAAGGAAAATGCTTTGAATTACAAGCATTTTAAAGCAGGTAAGTGTGAACATGAAATAGGTTCTTTAGGGAGAACAATTCAAAGAATCATATATATACAAAGAAGAACAGAATAACAGAATTGGAAGGGACCTTGGAGGTCTTCTAGTCCAACTCCCTGCTTGAGCAGAAAACCCTATAACAACTCAAACAAATGGTTATCCAGTCTGTTCTTTAAAATCTCCAGTGTTGGAGTACAGGAAACCACAGTTTCTGGAGGCAAATCATTTTCTTGTGTTTTATAGAATACTTTTGAAATGGGTCCCATGTTACAAAATACAGGTAGTTCTCCTTCCCCCTGCAGCCATATAATTGTGTTTTGGACTCTCAGCAACTGGACTGCATGTAAGAGCTGTTTTCAGCATCCCACAGCCACACTACCAATATTTCTGATGCTTTGTGCCGGAAACTGATGTTTGCTTTCAGTTTTGGCAAAAAAACAACAACCCATCACTTAACAGCTGGCACGACTTATGTCTGGAATTTGGGCTCTGTTAGATCATAAGTCAAGAACTACCTGAACTTTAGGATTTATGTTCTGAAATTGAGTGTCAGAAAAAGTCTCTGTGTATATATAAAAGATCACACATGGTTTTTTGAATGCCAAATACTGATTTTGCTTGAATGCAATTAAAAAAAAATTCAGATACCATTAGGTGGGCAGCAGCGTGGGGCTGTTTTCTAGGCACCTCTTTTCAAGTTATGAGTTTGCTGAAGTTAGTAAAATATAAATATTTGTGAATAAATATTTGTGTGTGAAGGTGAAAAGACAAATTACTTGCCCTGAACCCAAATTCATCTTCCTTCCCTTATCATCCCCTCCCCCATTTTTTAATCTAAATGAGACCTAATTGTACTATTGTTAAAGCTGTAATTATTTTGATGGCATCCATTATGTGGGCGTAACATTCCCTAAGGAGGATTCTCCTCCCTTCTTTTACTCTGGTTTGTTATTCTTCAGCACCATCCTATTTTGAATGTTGAGCTGTAAAGCAGAATTGTACAAACTACTGGTAAATGGATTGGAGTTGCTGTTCCCATTATCTTGAGAATAAAGTTCTGTTTTAACAGCGGAAGTTATCCGCGACCCCTTTCAATTTACCTTCCCAGGCCTGAAACACTCTGCTCTGAATATGTGCTGAATTAAGATGGTCAGCAGCAACAAGATGAACGTGTAAACTCAATTACTTACTCTCCTTAAAATTGGACATCCTTCTGCATGGGTTTTAGCCTGAATTAGCTGTTTTTCAGAATGTTATGTGCTTTCATTTTCAAGATTGTAGTCAAGGGATAGAATAGACTACAAGGTTCTGAGTGAGCCAGTGAAGAAAGATTTAGAAGCATTGCTCCAATTAAGATTTTGTCTTACAAATGTAATAGCATCTTTCTTTTCTCCATAACATGAAGACTATCAAGTAAAAGCATAGTCACTTCATAGTTTCCCATTAGTTAAAGGCATGCTATATACCTTTGTGAGAAGGGAGAAAGGAACAAATAAGATGTGTTTAGAATGGAATATTGCTCAGAGTTTGTTTTAATAGACTACTATCAATATATTCTGGAATATTTTTGAATCTGCTGCTTTTATGAAGACTTTCCTGATTGTGTTAGGAACACTAGTGAAAGGGATGATATTGATATGACTAGGAAGCATGTCCTGAAGATATAAAGGCAACAAATACGTCTTATTATAAATATGTCATGTTATTTTACATTTTGTTTGTTGCTGCTGTTTGAATTTGGAAACGGTCCATATGAAGCAGCATAGAAGCTTAAGAGGTAGTCAGATATAATACCTAATTAAGTTAATAAGATTTTAGCAATTAGGGTACTGTATTACATGTATATTTCTTAAGTACTGAATTTTTGCAAGTTATTGTAGGAGAAAGAAAGGTTGAAACAAAACTATTTAAAGTAAATTAATAAAACGATAATAAACAAAATCAAAGTAAACTTATTTTAAAAAATCACTTATGAAACTATTCTTGACAGAATGAAGAATTTTATAGCTGGAGTGTAAATATGTATTTCCATTTGCAAATTAAAAGGATACAATCAGATTAATTCTTTAAATGTTAATAGATTGTCTTGATGTATATACCATGCTAATTGAATATGTTTACCTGCACGCAGTCGTTGCTATTGTAATGAGGCTGTTATCAGTTCATAGCTCTTAATTCTTCTGGCAAATAGTCAATTATATTTTCTTTCATCTGATAGAACTTTCTGCAGAAGCCAAAGCAGCATTATTTGAATTTGAAGAACGGGAAAGACAGCTAAAACAAGGGCGGTACGGGTCCCGAAGAGGAGGAAGACGAGGAGGGTTATTGATGTATCATGGGCTTGGAGAACAAAGAAGAGACATCAATGAAAGAGGAAGAATGAAGGATCACCGGTCTGCTTTACTGCCAACTCAGACGGTACTCTAAATACAATAGTGATGGTTGGGTGGAGGAATTCAAATGATGGAAGGCCTGCTTAAGTTTAATGGCTTAAATAAGAATGCTTAATTCAGAGCCTTATTCTGAAGACTCTTAAAAATCAGGAGAATTTATAATCCAAAGGTTTGTTTTGTTTTATTTTATTTATTTATGTATTTGTTTTATTTATTTATTTGTTTATTTGTTTGTTTGTTCGATTTATATGCCGCCCTTTTCGGGAGACTCAGGTCGGCTTACAATGCGTTAAGCAATAACCTTCATACTTTTGTATATACCTGCTTAGTAGGGCTTTCGCCCCCTCCTCCCCCCAAGCAGTGTTCTTTTTTATACAAAGTCAGCTTATTGCCCCCACTAACCGGGCCCTAATGAGTAACTCAAGGCAGTGAGCATAAATAATATTCCTTCCTCCTGCTATTTTTCCTACAACAACAACCCTATGACGTCGGTTGGGCTGAGAGAAAGTGACTGGCCCAAAATCACCCAGCTAGTTTAAGGTCTTAGAACTCATGGTCTTCTGATTTCCAGACTGATGCCTTCACCGCTACACCAACTGGCTCTCTGGTTTTAGGATTTGTGATGATCCCATTCTTGATACTTCTTGTAGTTCTGCAAAACGTGTGCAGTGCCAGAGACTTCTCTTGCTCATGTCTCTATGGGTGTGTTTGACGTGGTAATGTAAAAAGGCTTTTTGATATAAATAAAGGGGGGGGGGAATTTTCATGTCCTAATTCCATTATGACAACAGAAGAATCTTGTTGATAAATCTAAGTTTAGAATGCTGAATTATAGTACCTTCATGTGTGTGAGAAGATACTGCTAAGTTGTTCCCCGGGAATGAATTTATGTTCATTCCATCCATAGCCAAAGAGTTAGGATGTCTCCACTTTCATCTGTCCATTCCCCAAGAAAAACTGAAGTTTCTAAGCAACCTATGAAAATGGAGATATTATCAGTAGCCACGAATCTGCTTAACCCCATTTAAAAAAAAATCTCTCTTGTATTTTTTGTGGGGCAGTTTTTTCAATTTTCCAAGTAATGGAAATGTTATTTTCTGTTTTTAATTTCAGACACATTCAGACAGGATATTTCATCATCCCATTCGAAATCTTTTCCAGCAGCAGCAACAATCACAGCAACAGCTACAGGGTCTGCTCCCTCTCCCCACTCCGCTTCGCACACCACCCCCTCCCCCTCCAGGAATTCATATGCCATCCCAAGTAGACGGCCCAAGAATGCTGATGACTTCTCCTTCAGTGGCATCCCAACAGCCAAAAAACATACACATAAATCCACACTTCAAAGGAACTGTAGTAACCCCTGTTCAAGGTAGGAATCTTTTTAAAGAAAGTCTAGGTAGACTACAGGCATTACTACAAAATGTAATGGAAAATGCCTATTGCTTAGAAGTAAAGCACATATTTGGTTGTAAATGTTTCTCATTTTTTAGAATCTCTTTGGAAGTACCACTGAGAAAGAGATAGAAGCCAAGAGAGCTGCTGTGTTGATCTTCATCAACCATGCTAACTAATGTAGATCAAAGGTCTTACTTGACATAAGTTGGGTTTTGATGTTATTGTTATTTTTATAGTACTAGGTATTTCTGTGCAGAATTCCTTAGATTCATCTCCTGAAATTAGATAATGGAACAGTAGAAAAAAATAATAAATGAAACAGATGAAAAATAAATTTATATAAATTTAAACCAGGATTTGTATTTTTGTGCTGACATTATTATAAGACAACTTGTCCCAAAGGTACTCTTTTTTTTTTTTTTTTGCAAAAGGCAACTGGACTTTCTCTGTGTTTTTTGTTTTTGTTTTTTTGAAAACAAAACTTCAATTCTGAAGAAGCTTCTTGGATGAGAAGCGAAGTGTTTTCAAAGAAAAAAACCCCAAGAAAGTCCAGTTGCCTTTTAGAAAAAGCAACCTTGAACAACTTTGACTTGGATGATTGAGAATCTCTATAGATGAGAAAGTTTATAATAATGATTTCTTTAATTCCGGTTGTTTTCCTGGTTGATTAATAAAATAAACCACATATTTTCTTTACAAAGAGTTCACATTGACATGCTGAACCCCAAACAAAACTATTCCTCACTTAAACTTTCACCTATTATGGTCTAGCAGAATAGGTGAAAGTTTAAGTGAGGAATTGTTTTGGAAACAAAAAATGTCATTAGGATGTGATTCATAAATTATAATCAAACAAAACATTAAGTAGCACCAATTTAAGGTCTCTTAAGGTCTCTTGCAGGATAATTCTGGTGCAGAAATTTCCATTAAATCAATGTGCTTTTGTTACTTAAGTGAGCAACAGTAAAGCAGTGTGTGTGTGTGTGTGTTTGTGTGTGTATGTGTATTAATTGAGAGTTTATTTCTAGAATAGTTAATTCACTGCTGCTACTTCTTCATGCATGCTTTTCTTTAGTTTTACTCCCTTTTCTCGTTTACTCCATTTGCAAAAAATTAAATCATTTCATTGCCTTATCTTAAGAAGTACAACACAGTATGAACAATAAGCCAATATAGAACATGTTTACTCAGCAATATACGCAACTGAGTTTAACTAGTCTTTATTTCCTAGGAAGCATATGTAGTACTATAATGCATAATTGAATTAACGTGAATTAACCCACGGAATTGGTATAATATCTGGAATTTTGGAAAATCATGACATGCCTCTGATGCTGTGCTGTCAAGATTTTGTCCCTCACTCAGTAATGTGTGAAACAAAACAAATATTTCAAATTGCCTATGCCTTGTTTAATTTTGTAGCCTATGCCATCAGCATCCTAATTGCCCTGTTGCATGGTGTTAACACATTTTGTCTGCCTGCAGCTGTTGGGGAGAATGGGGCGGCAGCTGCCTGTGAATGTGGCTGTATATGAAAATGGCCCGGAGTCTTGGCTAAAACAAATTGATTTAAAAGGTGTGCTCCTTGTTTTTAGTGCCCTTGCTGCCAGTCCCAACCCAGCCAAGACCTGCTGTAGGACCCCAGAGATTTCCTGTGAGTAGCAGCTGTTCCTTCTTCTCTGATATGGATAAGCATACATTTGTAAAGAAATATTAATATGGCAAATAAAAGTGGTGCCAGTGAAATATAATTTTAAGGATTTGCAAATATTGACAGTGATCTGTGAGCTAGAAAATTGTTTGTTAAAAGCTTAAAGGTCAATGAATTTTTCAGGCCTGAATTAATTTTGTTTTAATTGTAAAAACGTCCAGTGGGGAGTTTTAAAAAAAACAACACACACACACTGGCTGGGTTTAAAATAATAATAAGGACTCCATCCATCCGTTAGAGTCCTTTTAGAATAAATAGAACTGGTTTCCTTTAATAAGAAAGGCATCAAATATTGTATATTTCTAATGTAAATGTAAAGAATGTTATTTTTCTTTTGTTGTATCTTTAATACCAGAAATTGATTTGCTACTGATGTCTGTCACCTCCTTATCTTTTTTTTTTGTCCCAAACACAGTAACCAGGTGTTTCTACACTTACTACACTTGGTTGATTTGCCTCTCAGTGTCACTGAATATTCCCACTTCTTTTCCCATTCATATTTTTGTAGTATGTAAATTTCCCAGATTCCACCCCCCCCCCCAAGTTTTGTATTCCTTCAGTTACTGTTTCTTCATACTGTGCATCAAGACACATAACAGGAACACTCAGTAATGCTGCTTTCATTCACCAGACTACATCATATTTCTATAACCTTTTTAGCCTTGGTAAAACTAAAAAAGTAATAATTCACATATGAGATTAACAATCAGAAACTGGGAAATACCTTTTAGAAATAATGGGAATGTATCCTCATGGTATTATAACCAAAAGTCTGGTGTATTTTATTGCTTCTTTTTACTGTGCACCACTTTTTAAATTTCAAAAATAATTAAACTAATGCTCACGTGATGAGGCGATTTCTGTTTTAAATACCTGCAAATCATTTCCTTGGTAGCTTGTTATTTTGCAGGAGTAAGTCGGAATTGCGAAGAATTCTAGTCTGGGAATACACAGCGTGGTAATATATGTTGTTTAACTGCTCTTCGTAGGTTCTTTATCACAGAAGGATAGTAAATGGTTCTCTCCATGATTCTCTGAGCACCTGTGACCTGGGAAATGACTTGTTAGAAGAAACTAAGCCCTCCTTTCCAGTCCATACATAGTGCTAAATGAAACTCAGATGGAGCCTGATGGTATTGTTCATGTACTGCGAAAAGCACAAGAAGTTGGCACATTTATTAGTTATCTTATAATTTGTGAATTTTTGATAGAATTAATCTTCTTTTGGATCCCATAATTATTACATACTGGTCTTTATTTTTCCTAGAGAATGTGCATTTTTGAGACACAGGTCCTGAAAAAGCCTTTTAAAAGTGTGTTTATCATGACTAGAAGCATTTGACACTGCTTATGATTAATCATTCTGAGGATAAGGTATGACCAACCCACATTTTTTAGGTGCTGCTTTGTTTTCTAGGCATGACTCCAATGAATATCGGTGGTGAGTTTGACTAATATTGTAGCTTTCACCAAACATGGGTACAAAATCAGATAATGGAAGTTTTAAAGGCATGTTGCTATCAGGGTGTTTGTATAGAAGAATTAATTGAATCTTTCAAGGGCCAGTTGGTGGACTTTATAAACCAATAAAACTTGTACAAAATGAATATTGTTACAATGACACTTAACAAAAATGAGGATTTGGCCGTATTCTCATTAATATTTAATGGATATTCTCATTAATATTAACAAATAATATTTAGTATAGCCACTGCTGCTTTTGGATAGCACTGGTCCATGAGAAACCAGCTTGATGTTCTCATCCTGCACTATTCATAGAAATTGGATACATGAGAAAAATTAGAAAAACTTGGGGGAGAAAAAGACTATTCTTGATCCTTTTCAACTCAGTCAAGGGTGAATATCGTGGTAACAGGCAGATTCTGATACTTGAGAGTGAGTCACAGAAAGTGCTTTTCCTCTCAAGTCTTGGTTTAGTAGCTCAATTTGTTAGCTAATTTTGGAAAGGATAAACCACCATTCCTTGAATCCATCGATAATGAGATTTTTATTTTACAGTGTTCCATGTATAAACTGAAAGAAAAATAGAAGAACCAAACAAGTTAGAGATTCTCTGGATCATTTTCAAACATTTGGTGGAGGGAGCGCTTTCATTCATTCATTCATTCATTCATTCATTCATTCATTCATTCATTCTAGAGGCACTCCAATCTGAATTCAGTCTGATTAGTGTACAATTCCCATTGCTTAAAAGTCAGGATAAACATCAGTCTGAAGGTTTGTAATATGGGAAACGGTAGTGGAATTGTCTTCTGCAGGTATAGTTACCTAAACTTGAATTCTGTTTGTACTAGATACGCAAATTATTTCTTGTTGTTGAGGAAGATATGCTTGCTGATTTATGCAGACAATAGTTGATTAACATTTTCTCTCCTCAGTTTAGCTGGTAGATCACAAGCTATCTCAAATCTTCTGTTGGTTTTCAAAATGGGGACAGAATGTGGCTGAGGAGTCATTTTCATGTGTTAGGAAAGCTAAATCATTTGACCCAACTCAGTGAACCAATCCTGGCTCCAGATCAGTGTTTTTGTGAGATACAGCAGATGTATATTTATCTTCTAAAATGAAACATGTTGACCATTTATAGTCATTGTGAATATGGATTAAAAGTGTCCTATCATCAGTTTCACCAGTTGATAAAGGATAGCTGCTTACACACTTGTGCTGTTATTTGTTTAAATGTGAAATATCAAGTGCAGAGAGGGTGAGGGAAAAATCCTCTAGCCTGCTGCATGGCTGCCATAGCAATTGTGTTTTTGTTAACGGCGGTGCTGTTAGAACAGCAGCAGTAAATGAAATTTTCACTCTATTACTGTGCAGCCGCGCTGGCAAATTCCACCTGGTCTGGAAAGCATTTCCTTTCTTTTTAACACGATACAAGGTATCAGGTGGTCATGATTGACATTTCTTGGATAGAGCTTTATACAGCATTTCATGCAAATCATGTTCGAATGAGACTGCTGAATCAAATTACATTTCTCCCTCCCTCCCTTCCTATTACAGCCCCTGCAGATGTGCAACTGAGCTTTCCTCAGCATCTCTGGCAAGTTCTCTTTACGAGGACCTGCCATTTTCACAACTTATCTACCTAGTCCTATTATTAGTATCTTCACAATAGAGCAATGAGAGTTTTCTCTTGCCAGATATGTAAAGTACTCAGGAAGATCAACTGCTGTGGCTCCACCTCTTCTGCCTATGGTGTCAGTGTCAGCTTGGGAGAAGGGAAATGCAATTTACAGTGCAGGTGACATGATAACAAACATCCTCCGTTTGCTAGGGAGCTTCTAATTAATCACTATTTCCATACATTATCACACTATCAAATTTAATCATATCAATGCATTCCCATCTGCAGGAGGAGCAGCAGAAGCTAAACACGATAACACTTATTAAGCTAGAGGAAAGGGGCAGGATCTAAAATGAACTATCCTTTTCTGTTCCTTCTCCCCTATGGCGCTTTCATAAATGGTAAAATCAAGCTGATGCCATGATTGCTCACTTTTTGATTTGATTTGAACATTCACAAGAAATAAGCTTTTTTTTTTTTTTTGAAACAACAGCAAAGTACCCATTTTTAAAAAATACAGATCCTCAAACATTGAGGTATATGATACTTGCTTAAAAATTCAGGTGGATAGTAGTAGAATTGAGTGTAGTGTGACTTTTCTACTTTGTAATATCCCTGAAGTAGATTTTTTTGTTGGGGATCTTTTCCTTTAATCTGCAGATCAAGGGCCTTCTGGCCATAAGAATGAGGCAGAATGAATTTCAGTATGTATGGCTTGGTCAAGAAAAGGGGACCAGTATAGATGTCACAGAAACAGACACATCTTATGCATTGAAGTCAGTGATCTGTGAATAAATTGTAATCGAATAGAGAGCATCACTTCTCAAAAGTTACTTTTGAGAAGAAAGCCTCAATGGAAGATGAGTGTCAATATTTTTTTCCATTATTGCTGAATATTGGCTTGATTGATTTTTATGCTGTCGGATCTTAAAATATGTGGCAGTTTGCAACTGTGAACATACACAGAAAATAAAATTAAATATAATTAAAATGAGAGGAAATAAGAGTGTAGAAATTGGTTAAATAAAATAGTTTTTGGCCCCCCAGTTCTAACTGTTTTATGAAACTCTGCCTAAGTCAGCAGTAATCTAACCTTGAAGAAACTATCCCGTAAATTGGAAGTCATAACAGAAAGGTTCCCTGATCCCCCCCCCAAATGTTTCTCATGCTCTGAAGATGGAGACAGTAACCTCCCCAGTTGAGGTGAGCGCATCATACAGGATGACTGCAAAGGTTGTCCTCCAGACATCTAAGAGGCAAGCCTGATAGAGCTTTTAAGAATGAAAACAATACTTTGAATTATAAGCAGAAACAATGTCTCTAGTCACAACTCTTGGAGGCAATCTTACATATGCTGTGTTTGATGATAGTGAATGCAGCTAAATGATCAAATACGGCCAGGATCAGGGTCACTCTGGTCCCAAAACAAGTCATCTACCATGTTTTTGACAGATAATGCTTGATGAGTATTAAATGCTGACAAATAAGAATATAGCATTTCTCTGTGTCCAAAAATCCTGCATGGTCATAAAAGTTTTACCCCTTTCCTTTGCCTTCCATTGTCCAAATATTCTTAGTTCCAAATTCTTAACATCGAACATTCTGATTATTGATTAGTGTTACAACTTAGCTAGTTACTGCTTTTTCTACTCCCCAGCCTTCCAAAGAAATAATTCTCTTCGATCCACAAAGAACAATCTACAATCGGGGTGTCAAACTCGATTTCATTGAGGGCCGCATCAGGGCTGTGTTTGACCTCAGGTGGCCAGGGTGGGTGTGGCCAGGTTGATGTCACTCGTGTCAGGGGCGCCTGTGGTGGCCCGAGTGCTCTCCCCGCGGGCCAGATCTAAGCACC